TTCTATTGGATTTTTCAGTTCAGTCATTGTATCCTTCATCTCTAGGGTTTCTATTGGGTTTTTTTTTATTATTTCTTTTTTTTTTTTTTTTTTGTCTTTTTTTGTCTTTTTTCCGTGTCCAGCAACGGATTGCAACCCTCAGTGTTGCCCCCGCACCGGGCCGGGGACCGGCAACGGGATTGCAACCCTCAGCGTCGCCCCCATGCCTCGCTCAGCCAGTGAGCGGGAACCGGTCTGTATGTGGGATCCGAACCCTCAGGCGGGAGCGCCGCCGCGCTTCCCAAGCGGCGCACTATCCAGTGCGCCACCGGGCCGGCCCTCTTTGTTATTATTTCTATTGCTTTGTCAAACTTCTCACTTTGTTTTCCAAATTTCATTAAATTTTCTATCTATGTAATTCTTGTAAACTTCTTTATGAGTATTATTCTGAATTCTTTGTCAGTCATTTCATAGATCCCTTCCCGCTTCCAGAGCCTTCCTGACTTCCTCCCTGTCTTCCCTCCTCTGCCATCATCTCCTCCAACCCCTCCAGCACTGCAGACAGAATAATTCCTACCTCAACCCCTAACAGTTGTTGTCAAGTTGTGACTTAGTTTCAGCCCCTGAGATGTGAGCAGAAGTCTGCTGCGGACAGGCCTGGGGCAGCCTTTCCTCTGGGAAAGTCCTGGCTGAGCACATGGTGACAGCTGCCAGCGGCGGGGCTCAGGGTGACAGGTGCAAGTGGCTGGGCTCAGGGTGCTGCAGCTCATGGACATGAAGGCCAGAAGGAGATCTGGTGCCCCAAGGGCTCATGCTGTGCAGGCCACTGTCCAGGGGCAGAGCTCACCCTCCCTGTGGGAAAGCCCTGTCCCTCCCTGGCTCCCTTTCCAGGGGAGTGGAATGCAGAAGTTGTGGGGACTGCAGGACCCTGGCTGCTCCCCAAGGGCACCTGTATTAGGCCATTTATGTTGCTTATAACAAAATAGCTGCAACTGGGTGATTTATGAAGAAAACAAAATTTATTGCTTACAGTTTCTGAGACTGGGAAGTCCAAAGTCCATCTGGTGGTGGTGACAGTGACCCAGGGGTCTCACATTGCAAGATGGTGAAAGTAGAGAGAGCAAGAAGGACTCTCCTCTTCTTTTAAAGTCCTCAGAACCATGCCCCTGACCACCACTTTTAACCCATTCACTACTGCACAGTCCTACAATCCAATCACCTCTTTAAGGCTCCACCTTTCACTTACCATAATAAGATTTCCTACCTTCTTAACACTCACAGTGGGGGCCAGGGTTCTAATACATAAAACTTGGGGCTACACTTCAAGCTGGGGAGTTTGGAGGGACATAATTCAATCCACTACAGCACGTCTGTCCTTCTTTCCAGTAGTGACACTTGCTTCTATCTCTGCTCTCAGTGCGCGGCCTGTGACTTCCAACCTGGCAGTGTGAGACGTTGTCACTCAGTGCAGGTCTGTGAGTTCTGGGTCCTCTCCTGCAGGTTTATCTGACTTTTACTCAAACGAGGGTGATTAGTGTGACCCTTGCCCCACATTAAGGTGCACTACAGAAGAGAAATGCGTTTGGAGGTTTGCAAGTCTTTATTTAACTGTTTAAAATTCATGATACGGCTATAGAGCAAAAAATATTCTGAAAGATTCTCAAATTTTTATTATATTGGTCTGTATGTAAAATCAATTACAATAATTATTTGATTCATGAATTGAAAACTGTTTTGATAGTACTGAACATGATCTTATTCCTCTATTGTTTAAACAAAAGATGAATTTTTTTAACTAAAAGTAATTCCACTCGGATTTTTAAATATAAGCTACTTCTTATGAGCTCGTTGCCTTTGCTGGTCTCTGTGAGCACCTGCAGATGCTGGTGAGTGGCCTGTTAACATTTCTTGAAAGAGGGGGCTTCACTGCGCTGCTCAGCAGAGGTCTCAGCCTTCCTGAGAGGTGCTGCAGTCCCTCCTTCAGTTTTCCTGACTCTAGGAAGAAATGGCAAAAGTGAATGGAGCAGGGAGTGAGGCAGCTGGAAGAGAGAACAAAAAGGTCTGGGGACAGTCAGGATGACAGGGGGAGGAAGGAGGGACACAGGAGGTGAGAGAGCTCAGGGACTTAGTGAGAGGGAAAGAGAGGGATGGAGCTGGACGCCCCTGGAGGGAGCAGGTGACCCAGAGGAGGCTCTGAGCACAGGGGAAGGAAAGGCCCCTGGAGAGAAGGGGAGGAGAGGGCCGGGCAGACGGGGACCAGCCAGAGCAGGACGCCCTCACCTGGAGAATGACCCGCAGCCTCCTCCACAGGGCTTGACTGTGTTTACGCAGCCCACGCCAGGGCTGAAAGGGCCTTCCCTGGTGGTCCACAAAGGTGTCCCAGCAGTGCCTAAACCCTGAAACCGGACAGAGGAGAGAGTCAGCCTCCAGCTGTGGGGAGGGAGAGAAAACAGGGTCTATGACTCTTGGGGACAGACTTGCACATCATAATTTCAGTCCACTGCTTTCTATTTCCCTCCCTAGGGACTTGGCTTCCTCATCAAACTCTTTCTTCCCATTGGAAGCTGAGCTAGCCCAGTTCTCCTTCTTTCTGGAAGCCCCCAAGTCCTTCTTCCACTTCCAAACACCCTCCCTCTGGGCCGGCCTGTGGCTCACTCGGGAGAGTGCGGTGCTGATAACACCAAGGCCCCGGGTTCGGATCCCATATAGGGATGGCCGGTTCGCTCACTGGCTGAGCGTGGTGCTGACAACACCAAGTCAAGGGTTAAGATCCCCTTACCGGTCATCTTTAAAAAAAACAAAACAAAACAAAAAAAACACCCTCCCTCCCTCCCTGAGACCCCGTATCCTGGCCTGGACTGTCTCTTCCAATAGAGCCCCAAGTGTGGTCCCAGATCTAGCCACGGCCTCTGCAGGCAGCAAACAAAGGCTTCTCCACCAAGACTGCTAATCCTCTGCACCCCTTTCCAGCAACTTCCCAGGGTCCTGTCTCTACCCACCACCCCCATCCACCCCAAGTGTTCCACTCTGACCCTTGAAGTTCATGATGCCAATCTGCGCCCCAGCCCCCTGCAGTGTGCGCAGCCCCTGCTCATATTCTGGGAGCCATTCATAGATGTGGGCAGCGAAGATGCGCAGGCGCATGTGGCTGTTCCAACCCAGAAATGCAGCCACTTCCTGGGCACAGTTGCAGCAGGGGCTCCAGGAGTTGAACCAGATGACCCTATAGTGCAGGGTGGGGTCCAGCTGCCAGGAATTCAGCAGGTCCAGGAAGCACAGCTCTGCATGACGGCATAGCCTGGGCTCACAACCACCCTGTGAGAAAGAGAAAGAGAAGTGTGAGGTCATTTGTTGGAGACAGGGAGGGAGGGCAGGAGCAGGCGCAGGCTGGCGAGGCACTGGCCTCCAGCGCAAAATTAGAGGGCACCATACGTGGCATTCATGATGAATGGTTTTCTGTGCAATAGTTAACATTTCAAAATTAATGCCAAAACTCCAAGATAAACAAAATATCAACCATTTAAATGCAGGTAGATCGGGAGCAGTGACTTTTGACTCAACCTCAGCTCCCATGTACTCCACGCAGCACTGTTACGTGTGTCTTCATTTAAAATGCTCATGTTTCGGGCTGGCCCGGTGGCACACTGCTACAGTGCGCCGCTTGGGAGCGCGGTGGCGCTCCCGCTGAGGGTTCGGATCCCACATACAGACCGGTTCCTGCTCACTGGCTGAGTGAGGTGCGGGCGCAACACCGAGGGTTGCGATCCTGTTGCCGGTCCGGTCCGGTCCGGGCGCGACACTGAGGGTTGCGATCCGTTGCCGGACACGAAAAAAGACAAAAAGGAAAAAAAAAATTTTTTTTAAAAATAAAATGCTCATGTTTCGTTCTCCAAGGAATTTGTGCATTAAATTTGATTTTTAAAATATTGCTTTCAATCAAGATTTCTTTGATTACTGAGTTTCTGGAGCTTCCTCTAATTTTTCTCTGTGTGTCAGTGCCTTCGGGACCCTCACCCAGTCCAGCTTTGCAGGGAGGAGCTGACGAGCTGGAGGAGGGAAAGGGAGGCCAGCTGAGCCCAAGGTCGGGGGACTGATGCCAGTGACCTGGGTGTGCTCCTTGATGGGGAGATTTACCCCCTACCCAGCTATTCCCCTACCACCCATCCTCGCTTGTGTACCAGTACTTCTAGAAGCTTCTACCCTGTGCTTCAGCTCATGCAGAGCTCCAGGTGATACAGACTCCAGCCAAAAGGGGTCCCTGTACAGAAAAGAATGGTGACAAGGGGCTCCATCAAGCCTCATCCCTACAGAAGTAGTCCCTGGGTCAGGACATGATTGTCGTTGTGGAGGCTCATACAGTTACAGAGATTTGTCCAAACTTCAGACTGAAGCATTTTCCACTAGGGACTGAAAACTAGTAAGGACAAGGACACCAGTGCAGAGAGGATGAGGGGTGTGATCGCTGACCCAGAAAGAGCTGAGAAGGGGCTGTGGGTCATCCCCGCGGAGGGCGTAGCCCCTGAGACAGTTGTGGGGACGAGCAACGCTGCAAGTCCCTCCAAAGCAGTGGCTGTGTCCTGCCAGGCCCATTTCCTCGTAGTGACCAGAGCAGCGCCACACCCTGGACCAGAGCCCAGCAGAACTGAACCTCCCCTGCCAGAGCCTGTCCTGAGCAGGGCCAGGGAAGAAGGTCCCTCGGGCACAGGGGTCCCTTGGCCTGGCCAGTCCCTGAACCTGACAGGGCGCCCGTTCTCTGGCCTTCCTGTGGGCTCTGTGCCGGCCAGGACAGGATCTCAGAATGGCCTCTCTTGCCTCCATCTTGCTTGGCCAGGAATCCGCCCATGAGCAGACGCTGGGGCACCTGCCCTGTCATGTCATGTAGATTGTAAGTGCTGTTCTAAAAATGTGAGAGTCATTTCCAGGAGGGGAGTCCTGGGCTGGGTCTCCAGGAACCTCCTTGGCCTTGGGCACACCTGACACCCCCTGGTCCTTGTGCAGACGCCTTTTCGTTCTGCCCCTGACTCCTCCTTGGGGGCACAGCAGGCAGTGAGCGGCCAAGTCCTGGATATGGAGGTGATACTGGGCTAGTGGGGCCAAGCTCATGAGCATATGACCAATTTCTGATGTGGGATTAAAGCCACCAAGCATGGACAGTCATCTGAGCCCATATGTCCTATCTGATTCTGGGACAGAGAATCAGTAGCTGCATGGACTAGAGGTGATAGGGACTATGCGACACCACATGTGCCACTGAGGGCCTCTACCTGAGACTGTACCTGGACTGGGGATGGCCCTGCCTGGGTGCGGTTGGGCCAGGAAGGTCACCTGGTTACGCACGAAGCCCTTGAGTTCATTCAGTGGGACCCATGTGTCACCATCCAGGAGGTCCACCTCGTAGCACAGGTAGGTCTGGTGCAGACCAGGGACCAAAGGGTCGTTTATAAAGTTGTAAGTGAATGTGTCTTCATCCAAGCCCCTGTGAACAAAGGTGGGAGAAACTCAAGACAGAGATTCCTCGTAAGACCACCCTAAAAGCCCTCCCCTTCTCCCCACGCTCCTCCCCTGCCCCCCACGCTCCTCCCCTGCTCCCCACACTCCTCCCCTGCTCCCCACACTCCTCCCCTGCTCCCCACGCTCCTCCCCTGCTCCCCACGCTCCTCCCCTGCACCCCATGCTCCCCCTGCTCCCCACGTTCCTCCCTGGTCCCCATGCTCCCTCCTCTGCTCCCCACGCTCCTCCCTGCTCCCCACACCCCTCCCGTGCTCCCCACATCCTGAGGCACCTGTCACAGGAGGGGCTTCCACTCACTTGCTGGAGCCTCTGGGGGCTCATGGGGGAGTCGACACAGTCCTTGTGGCTGCCTGGGCCTTGTCGGGGTCTCCCAAGGATGAGTGCAGTGGGCTCAGACCCTCTGATGAGGCCCCTGACCCTGTCCCTAATGTAGGCTGGGTCTCCTCTGCTGGTGTCACCGCCCAGCCTTGTCTTGGCTCTGCCTGACCCACAGCCCCTGCTTGAAGTGGACCCCCTGGGCTTTTCCTCCTCTGCAGGGTTACCTCGGGCCACACCCAGCATCGGGGTCAAGACACTCCTGAGTGTCCATCAGAAAAGGAAATGCAGGGACTTTTCTTTCCACCTAATTCATAGGACTTTCCATGTCACTCAGGACAGGGGAGCACTCACCCCCTGCTCTTCCTCCTCCCCTCCCTGCCGTGAGGTGACATCTTCTCAGACCCTCAGCTCATCCCCTCTTCAGCCTCAACTCTGTTTCTCATTCTGCCCACCCGTCCCACGCTCCTCCCCTGCACCCCACACTCCTCCCCTGCTCCCCACGCTCCTCCCCTGCACCCCACGCTCCTCCCCTGCTCCCAACATCCTGAGGCACCTGTCACAGGAGGGGCTTCCACTCACTTGCTGGAGCCTCTGGGGGCTCATGGGGGAGTCGACACAGTCTTTGTGGCTGCCAGGGCCTTGTCGGGGTCTCCCCAGGATAAGTGCAGTGTGCTCAGACCCTCTGATGAGGCCCCTGACCCTGTCCCTGAGGTAGGCTGGGTCACCTCCCCTGGTGTCACCGCCCAGCCTTGTCCTGGCTCTGCCTGACCCACATGGCTCTGCCTGACCCACAGCCGCCCCTGCTTGAAGTGGACCCCCTGGGCTTTTCCTCCTCTGCAGGGTTACCTCGGGCCACACCCGGCATCAGGGCCAAGACACTCCTGAGTGTCCATCAGAAAAGGGAACGCAGGGACTTTTCTTTCCACCTAATTCATAGGACTTTCCATGTCGCTCAGGACAGGGGAGCACTCACCCCCTGCTCTCCCTCCTTCCCTCCCTGCCGTGAAGTGACATCGCGGCTCTCAGACCCTCAGCTCATCCCCTCTTCAGCCTCAACTCTATTTCTCATTCAGCCCACACGGATCAGTCTCTCCTGCCCCGTCTTTGTAAAAGGAGGACCCACCCCCTCCCCCTTCCACTCCCCTCCCCCCCCCCCCCCGCTCACCGGCCGGAAAAGGACGGGGCTGTGGGGGGGG